TGTCTGTCTGTCTGTCTGTCTGTCTGTCTGTCTGTCTGTCTGTCTGTCCATCTACTGTATCTATCTAGGAATGTTCATTTGATTCTAGGCTGAATATTTCATGTGCTTGTTTGTCACTTGCAAACAATACCCCAGTGTTTGTTACATTGGTATTTAGGTATGTTATTAATTGTGATATCTCCAATGAAGAAAAACCCAAATCCATAAATAAATAAGTCTTACAACAGATTATTTGCTCAAATAAATCAGAATATCTGCTGAAAAACAAAAAAACTTTTTTAAGGAATTTGTCTGCCAGAAAATACTGAGGTCTGAGCTGTCATAGAAAAATAAATAAAATATTATAGGAAAATGAAAAAAAAATGTGCAGAATGCTATTAACTACGAGCTATGACAAGTGTTTTGTGGTATGTTTATTTTTCTATAGTACACTTGTTATATGTCTTTATTGCTTTAACGTGTGATTTGTGCTGAACTGATGAATCTTACGACAATGTGTTAATTAGTAGATTCTGTAACCTTTTGCACTTTATATAAGTTAAATGACAGACATAAGGGAAGTCAATTCATACCTTTAAACTTACGCTTTTCCAGTTTTTGTCACTTTCATGACATACTGAGAACATTCTTCCAACTGAGAAGTGGGCAAAAGTGTTCTCAGGAAGAAATCAAATGAGGCGGGGCTGTGAACCAGAGAAGTGAGAGGAACTGAGAGAAGACTGACGTGAACACACTGAGGAGGTGGTGCACTAAGGAGAGACAAGACTCGGGAAGGGGATAATGTGATGGAGCATGCAGGAAGAGGTGAGCAATAAAAAAAGTTAGCAGCTGAAAAGCTGTGACACATGAGACCWAGAGACTAAGGTGGCCAATTTGTGCGAAATAAAGAGAAGAGAAACAGGAAAAAGATGAGCTCAGCCGTAAAAAAATAAAATAAAAAAGGGGGGGGGCAGCCTAGAGATGTTAGCACAGGAGCTGAGAAAGCACTTGATGAATAATTACATGAAGAAAAGGTGAAATGTTGTAAACAAAGTGAGGTTTCCAAACAGTGYAAATGAAGACAGAGGATGGGCAACTGAGGCATGACAAAAACGTGATTAGGAGAAGGTTCTAATTAAATCTATTTGGAGAGAAAATGTTTGTGCTGCAAAACAAAATCTTGCAGGATAAACATAYGATGTAACTTACAAGGCTCTTTTAGGTGTTAGTAAAAAGAAAATGCAGCAACAAGTGCTTATCTGTATAATAATATCACAGTCATTATTGCAATAATGGCCATAAAACAGTGAACTACTTCCAGAAATACATGCCTTTTCTTTACCCACAAACAATAAGCTGAAATTCTCAGAAAATTCCCCAAACTAAAAAATATTGTACTGTACTTTAAGGGTCATAAAATTTTATTTCACAACTCTGACACTCAAATATCCAACCGGCAAGAAGCAATAAAGCACAAAGTACATCAAAGCTCCAGTTTGACATTTTAAAATCTCTACCTTCATGCTCACACCTTTCCTCTTCCCTATAAAGTTATAAAGCTTCTTTTTCCACTTTCTGCACAAGCACCACTGASTTCAACGCTTATGAAATCCGTAATTCGAGCTTAGAAGAAAAACGCCTAAACAAATTTCATTACCAAGTTTATAAAGTCAAATAAAGACCATTTAGTGGCTGTTTGCAGACTGTGAGGTGTCTCAGCACACTACTTTAGAGCATCAGGATTCAACAACTCTGACAAAGGGTGAGCCAATATAGAGAAGTTACCCTCAAAAATGTATGTATTATATCATTTTCACTTAAAATGAAGGAACATTTTTGCTGAACTTGGCAACTTGTGGGGAAACAATCTGTTTTTTAAGGACTGTGAAGTCAGTATACATGGACAAAGTCAACTATGTGGCTGCTTGTCTTGGCTGGTTAGTTCTTTTGCAGAAAGCATTTGAAGTAAGTGATCTTCAGTTCAATTTGAAAATGGAAATGAACTCAATATTTCTGATGAAATCTCAGTTAAATGTAGCGGTATGATCCATGACAACTTCGGAGCAGTCATCACCCTCAACTATGGTGATTTTATTTCAGACGTTTGATCAAAGATTTGAGCCCTTCTATGTGTCATGTCCTTGGCAATAACAGTGGGCACCCAATTACACCCAATATTCTTACTGGTGTATGAGGGAACGGGTTCCTGGCTTGTTGGCACTAGATAAAACACTGTTAACCAAGAAAAAAAAAGCTGCCATACCATTATCAGCTGTGTGACATTATTAACTTACATTTTACCTCAACTGTAAATAGTTAAACAATGAAAAAAGCATACTTTGTAGTCATTTTTTTTTGATGGTAGTCAAAGGCAACATATGTTTTGAAGTTAATTGTTTAGGTTTTGAAATTATCACATTACTGTAAATGAGCTGTCAATTGACAAGTTCAGTCATATCAAAATAAATGTTTAAAAAAGCCAATGTGCTTCTG